GCTAATGCGTGTTGGCGAACTTCACATGTCTTCGTAATATATTTTTTCTTATTCCTCAGGGTTTCCCACGATGTTTTCCTTCACCGCCGAGAACGTGGTAAATCAGCACTTAAAATTGTAATTAACAATTTCATTGGTGCCGGCGGGAATCTAACCCGGGTTTCTCGCGTTCTGTTATATTTACAGCGAGGGTTAACCATCTGTAGCATCACAGCTACTCAATAGGTCAAGTGGCAAGCAATATGTTTATTCTTTTTTTTCGCCAAAGATGGAAGTGTATACAGAGCTTTTTTTCGCAAAGAGTAGACAAATTTGATAGTTAAGTTCAAATATATAAATAATGTCATACCGTTATTGCTGTTTTTGCTTTAAAATACGATTAAATAATGCATCTACTTTTATTTAAAATTATCCCAAATTGAATGTGATTTATGGGCATCAACTACGCGTACGCGCGCTTTTCTGTGTGCGACTCAATTCACAACGTTTTTCCTACCAAACGACGCTTACAAATGTGTGCGTGCGTAGTAAAATGGTAGGCGTCAGATATTTATGAATGACAATCAGTTAAAATAATATATCACCACACACTTGAGTTTAAAAGATAAAAATGCAGAATGTTTGTGATTGTTTTAATGAAGTTTTCTTCACCATTTGCCTATAATACTTATTTTGTACCTTCTCTGCAAATTTGGCCGTATATTGCAAAATAACCCTGTATGTGGATCACAGTAACCGATGAAGGCGAATAATAACCCGCATCTTTCGACTGCATGCGTATTTCATCAAATGATACGAAGATAAACAAGCATCTGCCTAATAATAACTACTTAAAATAAAAAAATGTGGGTTTCAACCCACCTGACAGGAATTGGTAAATATCCCCCTATGAGGCAATATATGGGGTAGATCTATATTTAGAAGTGGAATTTTGATAGGCTATAATGACAACGATGATTTAAATATTAAATTTGAAGTTTTAATAAATTAGAATCTGACATAGTAATTTTAGAAATATTAATGCCTACATTTTAATTATAAGCAAGTTTTACAATTGTGTCTGTATTCACCTACGAAACTGTAATTTAATTTTTTTCAACAGTAAAAAATGAGTGAAGTCGAGTACTGGCTTATTATAATATAACAACACCTTAATTAACTTAATTAATTCACTAAATTGTCTTACAACATAACAACACCTGACTTATAATAATATTATACAATCTCACCTGGCCAGGCACTGTTTTTAGGGTAACAAAAACCCATTCACTCTTGCCTTGAAAATTTGTATACCAATTGTAATCGGACGGAAAGACAAACGCTAGCAAATTCGTCCATTCCCTTTCCGTACACGTAACGTAAAGGCTCTGCCACATTATGCCTCTCCCTTAGGAGTAGAGCCATTAAGGTTAGAGAACACGAGAACGATCACTACGTACTAAAGCATAGCCCGCCTGTCCTTGAAAATTTTAGGATATATAGCGGCGCTGACGTCGGTGAGTAGTGACTGCGTTGTTAGCTGTTTATGAGTACAAGTAGATGGAGTTAGTTGACATTTTTAATGAGAAAATTTTCATGCTCCGTAATTTTGTAATTTTTGACAAAAAGAAACATTAAAAAATGGAGAAATATTTTATTGTGCGTGGATGTACTAGTGGTTTGGCATCTGATCGGAAAAATAGACTGAAAATGACTTTTATTGACCGAACTTAGTGATCGCAGCGCCTCACTTATGGTGTCCATATTTCCGGGACACTATTTTCTACGACAATCGTTCTCCTGTTCTCTAACCTCCATGAGTAGAGCGGTGAGAAGCCCGTGCTCACTGTCTACTCCTCGCGCTGCCGCGATGTTGCCCTCTCTACCCACACGCTGCTCTAATCGCGACGCTCCGCATTTTTTCTTTACTCATGTGGCACTACGTTGCTCACGTTTGCAACACAATAGTTATTGAAACAAAAACAGCATGCGCGCTTTATGCTTATACTATACTAAATAGCTAATACTATACTAAATAGCTAATTATATCAATGTCATAAATAAGAAATATACGTAGTCGTCCTCGTCAACGGAAACGGTGGATGGCATCTATTTATCGCAATAGAACAACGCTTCAAAAACGAACGCTCGATACGAAATGCGTTCAATCAATTATGTAGCAGACCAATCGCGCTCATGCCAGTCCTTTGACCCGTGCCCGAAAAACCGACAAAACGGCATGACGAAGCATATCGTGCGGGATGACGAGTATTGTTGGCACATTACGTTTCTGCTTCTTTTCCTCGCTACTTCCTATGTCAAGTACATGATGCAAATAAAATGAAATAGGAAATGTTATAAAACTATTTAATTAATAATTACTTAGTACTAGAGCCGTGGTAGCTTAGATGGTTAGCGCTCGCTGTAAATTTCACGGTACGCGAGCAAACCGGGTTCGATCCCCGCTGGCACCAATGAAATTGTTAATTGCAATTTTAAGTGCTAATTTACCACGTCCTCGGCGGTGAAGGAAAACATCGTGAGGAAATCTGCACGTCAGAGAAATCAGAAAAAAAAATTTCGAAGATATGTGAAGTTCGCCAACACGAATTGGGACAACGCGGCGGACACTTCCTTGCCCTAAAACCCTCTCAAAAATGAGAGGAGGTCTGTGCCCAGCAGTGAGACATATATAGGCTGTAACTTTACTTTACTTAGTACTAATTACCAAATAAATGACGAGGCCGGCAGATTATATATTCCACACACAGTTCTTTTGATACTGTCGCAATTTTAAAAGCTCTAAAAAGTCACTTAATGTATTAATAATGATTATCTTAACATGTACGTTTAAGTTATAAAAGGATTCAGAATTTCATGTTATGATTTAGATATCACCGGTGGAAGTTGAGAACGTCATTAGGCAACATCCAGGTATATTGGACGTGGCTGTAACTAGTATACCTGATCAAGAATGTGGCGACTTGCCAGTTGCATGTGTTATGACTCGAGCAGGATATGTTGTCACAGCTCATGAAATTAAGCACTTGGTTAAAAGTAAGTTAGTCTGTAGGAATCAAAAGTCACTGATCGTCTTATAAAATTTCTAGTTCATCAACGTCAAAAACGTAAACTTACGTTTACTCTTTTTTTATAGGAAAAGGGTGACAAGCGAGCACACAGTCCACCTGATGGTAAGTAGTTGCTGTGACCCATGGACATCTACATTTATCCCTGTTTAAAAATCACAACGCAGATGCGTTGTCACCCCTGAGGACTAAGATGGAATGCCTGGTTTCCAGTAAAAAAGGGTCTCCGGTACTCCACACTCACCATACAAAACACAGCAGTATTAAGCTGCTATTTTACGCTGGTATTCTATGAGAGCGTGGTCCTTCCCCGGTCGAGCAGACCCAAACTCTGTTTTACAATGAAGTACCAGTGCAAGCAAGCAAGCAGTAGGGGACTGAGGTGTTAGATGTCCTGATGTCTTCATTAACCTTCAGATTTTCAATATCAATTTTTGGTCCAATCTACGCAGAATGAGCTTAGAATATGTTGAAGTCTTGCAGTGATGTGCTTGGGTTTGGATTTAATTTTGTTAATTATAAGGTCAAAGGGGATCAAAAAAGGGGCAGCGTATTCTCTATTAAAATTAGGATGTTTTTTTTTAAATTTCAATAACCTCGGCTATCATCCTTGATTGGAATCGGTGTTCTCATATGAGGCTTTGTGGTCAAATCTAATGTAATGGCAGGGACGACCTTGAACATGTTCACAGACTTCCCGGTTCGTCGGTGCTTTACGTTATATTTAAAAATATAGCTAACTGAGACATCGATACGGCAAACACCTCAGTCCTTTAGTGACCACGGGTGATATAAAGTACCCCAAAACTTCAGGAATTAAAAAATTACAATTAAACGCTATAAAATTAGTTTCATTCAATTTAATTTTTTTATTTTATTCAATAATTTAATTAAATAGCAGTGTAAATTATACGCACTATTCTCTTTTTTTATTAAATCATTTTCAGATTCCCTATCTGATTCGAAACAATTACGAGGCGGCGTAATATTTGTCAACGAAATACCTATGACGGCATCTACAAAAGTTCACAGAAGAAAACTCAAGGAAATGGCTCGTGTGATGGACAAAGAATAAGGTATAATTCAGTAACGCAGAAGTACATGTCACCAACCTTGAAATATATCCCACTTGAAGAAAAGACTACACTGACTTAAGGGACCAAAACACTATAACTGGTTTAAATAGCTTTATTGTTATTTGTGTGCTATTGTAATATTGTATTAAATGTAGCTTGCACAAGATCCTTGCACAAAACAGTGTCGTACCTATCGTTTAAACTAAAATGTGATAATAACGTTATTTATTATTTTTAGGACTAAAATCTAGTTTTTATAACTTTTATTCAAACCTGTACAACTTAATTCTGAGTTCTAACAAGTATACTTCTTACGAAACACCCGAACAGGATAATTTAGCTTTTAGAGAAAATATAATATTCTTTAGGCTTAAGGCTTTATCGTACACAATAAATCCAAAAAAAAATTCACAGATGTTTTGTAAGATTTATTTCAAACGCTGATAAATTATTCCATATAAAACAATTCATTTTTATTGTCAGTTGCCAATAGAACAAATCAATAATGTACTCGTGGTAGAGATTATCCTTTGTTAAATTACACACTGTAAATAAATTCTTATGTTTCAATGTGTAAAAGTAAAATACTTGTTATATTGATCCATTTGTGTAGATGTGATGGTTAAACTGTCACTTTAGACTTGTTTACGTTCTTTCAATATAAGACAGTTAGCGTATGCTTTCCTGTGGCTGCTAAATGGCTATTCCTCATTTGCGTTATGCATTCAGTTTCGCATTAATGCGTATGTTCCGGTGAATGATTGCGAATTTCAAGTCTATGTTAAGCGTAACACAAATAAAATCAAATAATATAAATATCATATCGTTTTATTTTAATTAAAGTTTTACTTGTATATCAAATCTTTATAACAGTGCTATAATTTGACAAATTTACTGATCCACGAAGAGTCTTCTTTTGGAGATTCTGCAAATTAATAAATTTTTAAGTTAATGTAATAATAATGATTTGCCATGGCGTAAGATACCAGTTTAACGCTACTGTGTTTCGTATGGTGAGTGTAGAGAACCGGAGACCCTTTTCACAGGAAATGGGGCATTCCATCTTAGTCCTCACGGGCGAAAACGCATGTAAATTTTTATTCGTAATCGAGTGTAGATGTAGTTGTCTATGGGCCACAGCAACCACTTACCATCAGGTGGACCAAAAATACACAGTTAAGACATGCTAAAGAACATTACACTGCGTCCATACCTTGTTCGCCCTGGAACCAAGAGCATCGGAAAATTGTGTGTTGTATTGTAGTTGTTAGTTTGTACCAGTTCTGGCTCATTCCTCAGCCCTCGTCGGCTGACGGTGGGTCGAAGGATCCAAAAAAAAGGGTTTGGCATGCTCTGATCAAGAATCTGCGGTCCTTTTTTGCTCAGGATGCGCCGTTCCGGAGATGTGCATAAGTATCAATAAACAAATATCTAATTGATATCCGGTGGGCCTGCACCCTCATTAGCGTTTCCATTGTGTTCAACCTTTTTTCTTATCTATTGTTCCTTGTGTGAAGTTGTAGATAATATTGTTACTCCTATATCAATATTAAATGTAGCATGCATAATATTCTTGCACAAAATAAGATATCTATCGTTTAAACTAAAACTGTTATAATGACGGTAATTAACATTTTTGGACAAAAATCTAGTTTTTATAACTTTCATTAAAATCTATCTTCTATTCACGGTATAGGATAATTTAGGTTTTTGGCTAAATAAAATAACGGTAGGTTTTATTTTATTTATTTATAACGTTCTCACAATATGGCTTTATCGTGCAAGCATACTTTTTGAAAGACTATCATAGATGTTTTGTAAAATACAACAATTTAACTATAATATTTCAAACGGTGATAAATTAACTGTATACAAAACAATTCATCTTTATTGTCAATAGAACAAGTCAACAATGTAGTAGAGTTTATCCATTGATTAACGTACGCATTCTTGTGTTTTGTGTGATTGTGTTCCCAAATTAATTGGACAAGAAATCCGTTTAACATTTCTCCTAAGTTGTATAGCGTCCAGGCACTTACTAAACAAAGATTTAAATAGTTAGATGCGCCATTACCATAGTATGGAGTATGGACCACTCCGAAATGTGTTTATTCTCAAATAAGTGAGCTCACTCATTCGCAATCAGTGCTCATTTGTGCGCGGTGACAGCCAGATGTTGCACATTGGAACTAACGCGTTGATTTCACCAAAAAAAAAAACTCTCAGAATGCCATCGTGTGCCTTTCGAAAGTGCAATAATAATTCTAGAAACACAAATAAAGCCCGAGGTGATTTCACTCGTAAGTATCTATGATTTTATTAAATATTGAATTTATTTTACTTGTCAAAAATACCGGGAAATAATTACGAGCCAATAGAAACTGTGTGACAGAGAAAGTAGTATACACAATTTCGTGGAGGAACTCACTATTATCAGACAGTGAAAGCAATTGTTCATACACTTCAATGAATTCTTCAGGAGACGAAGACCTTGATATTTATCTTCAGAAATTTTATTTTCAAGGCATGTTTTTGAAATTTTTCATAGAAACACCCACAGAAAGGAAAGTAACATAAGCAATAGTTGCATTTACCCGCCACGGCGGGTAATTGCAACTGTTGCCGCCTGTTTCATAAATTTGTGAAATAGGTTTTTTATTCTTAGAGATTTTCATTATTTATTACAGTGATATAAAAGTACATTAAATTTACTTATTAACTCATATTAAAAAAAATGTTTGGTGCTTATAAATATATTCATATCAAGCTATAAATTAAGGACATCCATATTTTTAGTTGTAATTACAAGACTCCACTTTACCAAGGAAGCGGTTTACAAAGGGATCATCTATAAATAGACATACACAGACGGAAATACCGTGGTAGACAGAGAAAGTAGTATACACAATTTCCGTAAGATAATAAGACTTAATAGATCTTATTATCTTACGGACTATTGTCTCAGTACTTTTCTAATAACCAATCTAACCATATTGCGCACGCATTAGTGTGCGCGCGTCAGCGTCTTGCAAACGCACACATTCAAAAATAATGCAACAGTTTTTCAAGGTTAAGGCGCATCTAACTATTTAAATCTTTGTTACTGGGCTATTTCTTATTTGCATAATGCGTTCAATTTCACATTAATGCGTATGTGCGGCGAATGAGTGCACAATTTAAAATCTATAATGAACTTAATACAAATAAAATCAATGAATATGATCATATCGTTTTATTTTAAGTAAAGTTTTATTCCTATGTCAAATCTGTATAACAGTGCTATAATTTGACAAATTTACTGATCCACGAAGAGTCTTCTTTTGGAGATTCTGTAAATGAAAATATATTACATAATAAGTTAATTGCAATAACTATTACTTGCCACGGCGTAAGATAATTCACCACAACAAACATTGGCATAAGTGTAAACGATAAAATTATAAAAAGAAAAAGTAGATAACAACAAAAAATTAACAAATTCTAACTAATTAGGTTAAATGTTGGTGGTTTAGAAGTAAATTATTCTAATCCCGGAAAGTCAATTAGTTTACTCCAAGCGGGGGTTCCCTTTTTACCAAAATTCCACATTTAAGATACATACATTGTCATAAGGGTTATTGAAAATACAGCGGTTATAAATAAACAGTTTTTTGTTTCTTAAAATAAAAGTCCCAGTGGTTATAAAATATATTTATTTTATATATAGCTATATTTAGTGGGAGCGCCTCAGAACCATAGATAAAAATGTTCAGAACAATTACCTATATTTTAAATGATGTGTATAAGAATTATACAACATAAACTCCAAAAATATTATTATATTTTTAGAATATATATTATTATTATTATATTTATATTTCATAATTTTTATATGTAAAGGAGTAAATTCTTATTGAATCGACTACAAATGGTAATGTATATTATTGGTATTACACATAAAAAATTGGTTGACCCTACAGGCCATCCCTGAAACTTCCCGCTAAGTTTTGAGCTCTTAGAACTATGTTCGAATGGCGGGAAGATTGTTAAAAAAAGATTATTTCAAAATTTTTCTTCTTTGATATCTCATGAAAGGATAGATCGATTTTCATGTTCAAAACGGCATTCGACGCAGTTTTTTAAGTTCTACAAATAATGTAAAAAGCACAAACTTGCTCGGTTGCGAAATCTCGAACTAATGTTAAAAAAAAACGTTTTTTTTTTCAAATTCTTTCTTCTTCGATATCTCACGAACAAATGAACCGATTTTTATTTTCTAAACGGAATTCGACATCATTTTTTGAGGTTAATAGCTGATTAGTTTTGGAAATCGATGGGTAAAACCGTCTAAAAGTTATTCCAAAATAATAATTTTTCAAAATTTTTGTTTTTGAGATTTCTCAAAATCAACTCGTCCGAATCAGTTCTTATTATCACCAAATCTATTCCACATTGAAGTCTTTAGAACGCCGCAAACCGCCGACGGTACTTGGAAGTTATCGCCGTGGTAAAAATACTCAACATTCATCACATAACGTTTTATTGTCTCTCCTTAAGTTTTTTCCCCATTTGGTTTTAAAATGGGATAATCGTAAGATTGCTTAAATTTAATGTTATATTGACAAGCAATGGTACAAGGTGAAGGTAAAGACGACTACGGTTTGATAATTATAATGAAAAAAATCACCTATAACAGAAAGACTAGAAATCAATTATAGGCAAGAATTTGAAGAAGAAAATTTTATATTTATTAGAAAAACAAAATTGGTTGACCCTGCAGGCCATCCCTGAAACTTCCCGCTAATTTCAAATACAAAGCGCTCCAAATTTCACCAAATTATGTTGCGGAATCTCGAAGTTATGTTAAAAAACGTTTTTTTTTTATTCTTTCTCCTTCGATATCTCACGAACGAATGCACTGATTTTTATTTTCCAAACGGCATTCGACGTAATTTTTTGAGGTTAATAGCTGATTAGTTTTTGAAATCGATCGGTAAAGCCCGATTAAAAGTTATACCAAACAGTTTTTCAAATTTTTTATTTTTGAAATTTCCAAAATCTACTCGTCCGAATGAGTTCATATTATCACCAAATCTATTCCACATTGAGATCTTTATAACGCCCCAAACCGCATCTCAATCGAATAAGACGTTCAAAAGTTACAAAAGGTTTACATACTTACACACACACATACATACATACATCCGTACGGTCGTTCATGTGAAATTAGTCAGAATAGCTTCCTGGTATCTCAAAACGTCTAGATCTGATGAAAACTCGATTTTCGAAATTCGGAGTGAAACCAATAACTTCCCTATTTTTGAAAAATTTCAATTATCTTAGCGGGAAGTTAAAAAGGAAAACAATTTATTATAGTATGCCTACGATCCCGATTCTAAACAACAATCTACAATCAGTGTCTTCCAAGACGAGCCCAAGCCGACTAAATGCGGCCATGTTGCGACGATTATTGAAGATCGTAGAACGGTTAATGCAGAGTGGTATACCACAGTTTGTTTACCACAAGTCATCGCCGAACTTCAGAAATGACAACGCAAGCTCTCATAGCGCTGGTCAAACGATTGAGTATTTGAAGCAGGAAAACGTAGAAATCCTTGAACATCCATGATGCAGTCCTGACCGACGCCATAACGATTTCTTAAATTAAGAAAAATCTTTGTGGTCAAAGGTTTCAGTCCGGTGAAGAAGCAGCAGTCGACGCTTTCAAAACAACCATATTGAACACCCGTATCTTGGAGTGGAATAAATAATTTAATAACTGGTTTGAGCGAATGGAAAAGTGTACAGCCCTCGCGGCGTAAGCTGAGCTTTGCATTTGTGTGAGTGCACACAGATAGTGTACAGTGGGATACGGCTTGAGGCGCAGCGCGTCCCGCACATGGTTTAAACCAGTTTCTACTGTTTTTTAAAATGCAGCCTGAGGCGCGGCGCATCCTCCACGCGTCGCTTTCCTGCCACGCACATTCCCCAGTTCACCTTTGGTACCGCTAGCAGATAGACGTGTAATTTTTTGTGGTTGTGTTCGAATTTTTTGTGAAATGGCTCCTACTGTAATTAAATTGACTAAAATACCATTAAGCAGCCAAGCAAAAGAAATTTTATACAAATTGAATACGTATTTCAAAGATTTAAACGACAAGGATATGTCAAGTGTCGTTACGTCGGCCCAATTGGTAGCGACATCGACAGGAATTCCGCTGTCAACTGTAAAAAAAGGTTTTATTAGAAGGTAAATGTGCTTTGGAAGATGGAAGCAAATTTAAATCTGCGAAAAAACAACATGCAGGAAAAATATCATTGTGATCGATGATTTTGATAAAGCGGTAATTCGGAGAATACTTCATAACTTTCACATCACCGACAAACAGGTTCCCACTATGAAAATATTACACGAAAAGTTAAAGGCAGAAATAAATTATCCAGGTGCAATTACGTCATTAAAAAAAGAAGTATCTCTATTAGGATTCAAGTGGAAAAGGACAGAAGATAATCGCAGAATCCTTATGGAGAAACATGAAATACAATATCTTCGAATAATGTTTCTCATTAAAATTGCCGAATATCGCGCTCAAGGCCGCCCAATCGTTTATACTGACGAAACATATATAGACACGTCTCACACTTTGTCGAAATCTTATTCAGATGGAAGCACCTCTGGTTTAAAGAAACCAATTACTAAGGGAAATCGGTTAATAATAGTTCATGCCGACGGAGAGGACGGTTTCATATCCAATGCCCTACTCATGTTCAAGGCAAACCAAAAAAGTAGTGACTATCATTATAATATGAACATCGAGAATTACACAAAATGGTTGCAAACGCAGCTAATTCCAAATTTAAAACCGAATAGTGTTGTGGTGGTTGACAATGCATCATACCACAATTCGTATCAAAATCCCGCACCCAATTCAAACCATCGTAAACAAGCTATGATTGATTGGCTCAAATATCGAAATATGATCACTCTGGATCGATGCTTAAACCACAACTTTATCAGTTGATACTACAAAACAAAGCAAGATTTGTTGAATATAAAATTGATAATTTGCTCCAACAACATGGTCACAGCGTTCTACGTCTACCACCCTACCCTGATTTCAATCCTATTGAAAATATATGGGCAATGGTAAAAGGATACGTAGCTAAAAAAAACGTGTCAATGAATATGGACACTATAATGAGTTAATCTCATCAAAGGAAAAAGTTGACGCGATCACTGTACAAGAGTGGAAAAATGTTTGTGACCATGCAGTTAAAGAAGAAAAAGCATTTGATGGTCGAGACGCCGCTATCGACGGTTTATCAGAGCGATTCATTATTAACACAGGCTCTGATGAGTCATCAGACGAGAGTGAAGATGAAGATGCAATGAGCGGAGAAGAAGAGTTATAATATTGTTATGTAGTTTATTACTGTTATTACTATAATTTAGGATAATCAAAATATCAGCGTTAACTTTTAATAAAACATTGATTTTTTACTAACTGTACTTTTGGCGATCACTCACACAAATGCAAAGCTCAGCTTACGCCGCGAGGACTTTATTTAACTACTTGGTGAATACTGTGAAAAACAATAAAAATACTATAATGTTCTAGTTGTATATTTTGTCAAACGACAAAACTTAAAAGGCATGCCTCATATTACTTACTGTATAACAAGGTACGTGAACCGTGTACTGGGCCTGTACACCGACTGATGGGCTACGTTCGGTGAAATTCGTATATTTTAATAAAATAATAATTTTAATGGTACTTATAACACAGCCAAGTAGCTTAGGCAAGGAAGGTGATAAAAAATCGACTACTGAAATAAAAAATAATACTAAATCTAAAATGCACATGATCACATTATAAGTCGTTCTAATGTTCCAAGCAGTTATCCAAAGTAATCATACATCGCGACTACACGGTAATTGATAATTTCTTAAAACATTTTATTTATCGACAACGTCTTGCAAACGTCGTTTCTCTAGCGCTCATTTTACTTTCATACAAATAACTTGATATTTTAATTATTGACATTTTTTGCATAAAAACATATTAAAATTAATTAACAAATTGTCCTTAGCCTGACCATAGGTCTGACCAAGCTGGCCCAATACAATGTCGATAAATAATCTAACCATAAACCTAGGATCATTTTTAAGAAACCCAAATATTTAAGCATTCCAAGTCCCAACACTACATAGGAGAAAAACTCGATTTGTAAATAGTACTAGCACAGTTTAAAGGCAGTCTAACAGTTGGAAACGAATGTGCAGAGCAACGGTGGGTGTACTGCGGGGCAGGGGGCACTATACTCAGTCTGCTGTACAATACAAGCGGTTTTCGAAAAATATAATATCTATAATGGTAAATTACTGTTATATCTGTATGGGGAGGAATGGAAGAGTTAGGCAGTCGGGAGACATGGGCACCCCCAAGTAATTCCAATTCAATTGTAAAATTTATTTTATTTTTATGTCGTTTGTTTATTTTACTCACTAGCAAAACTGTTCATCCATATACAATTTGTCATTTCGTTCTGTTGTCAAAGTTACTAGCTCTTTAAAGTTAGGTGCGCGTTAACGTAAGCATTTTGTTGTGGTTTCGCTATATATTATCGAAGAACCAGTGAAGGTAAGTATTTTATTTTTATTTTATTTCCGTTGAATATTTACTAACTTATATGACGGCATGATAACGGCGCCGTTGTACGTCGGTACAGCAAAATTGTAAAGAACACTTGCACCAATCGCGCCGCCCGGCGCGTCGCTCAGTTTCCCCCACCGCCCCACTACTCGTCTACTCGGCTTGTTTTGCAACAACGGCTATAAAACGACCGCGAAGCGGCGAAGCAGGCTGCGCCCTTCTGCCTGCGCCCTCCTTTCTGCCAAGGACGGTCTCGTTCGTATACGGCTTAGAGATCTCTAGTCAGATCGTTAAGCCAATTCCTAAAGAGGTTGAGTTTAGTGGGTAAAAGTCTCCACATAACCACGACAGCCGGCTGCGTGGTATGCTATGAGCATTCTCAATCTCCCTCCCCCGCTTTCCGGCGGGTTGCCCATTTTTGCTTCGGGCGCAAAAAAAAAAAAAAAAAGCGAAGCAGGGAGTCATATCTCTGGCGTGGCACGGTGCATTTGATGTATCCTGCTACTAGCTCATTTTAGACTATTCGGATAATTAATTCGTGGAAACGAATTAAATTATTATTATTATCAGCTATTAAATTAATTAGTCTCAGTACAATTTATAGTTGATTAGCTGTGATCCGTGTATTTTGTAATTGTAAATTAATTCTATGTAACTACCTTCCTACATATATATTAACTGTAAGTCACGCTAAAATATCTAACCATAAAATTTCACAGGGAACTTAAGTTGAAAAAGTATGAGGAGGAAGCAATGGGCAGTTATTTTTAGGGTGGATTGGGCATGCCCAATGCTCCCACCTTTAAGTAATGTACATAGTGAAACAGTTTGTTTTAAATTACCAAAAATAAATTGAAATGTTTAGATGATTTTATTTGCAGAAAGACGCCGTACAGGTAAGAAGAATGGTAACCGATGCGAAATTCCAAAAGACAGAATCTTACGTGCCATAGAAGAAGTGCCAAAAGGTGGTAACATAAAAACAACTGGTGATAAGTTTGTAACACCAAGAACAAACTTGCTACGATATGTTAAACTAGAATACGTAAAGGACTTTGAAATAATACTAGTTTTTACGGAATTTATCGCGTATATTTTAACTTTTTAAATACCCGACGTTTCGAACGCTTTACAGCACTCATGGTCACGGGCAGGACTACGCGATAAATTCCGTAAAAACTAGTATTATTTCAATGTGTAGTGTTCGCGTAAATATAAGAAATCATTACGTAAAGGACTCTTCATCCAGGTTTATATCTTCACAAATTTCCAGTTTATATTATGTATTGTGGGAGCTTTGGGCAAAATTGACATATTTCTGAAATTCTTTTGTAACATTAAGACTGATTTGTAAGTGTAGACTGTTATTGTTCTTTGTAAAACATCTTGCCAAATGTATGGTGCAATTGAACTTGACAATAAATATTGAATATATTTAAAAATGTGCTTTTTTATTACCTTGTATGTGAAAAAGTGCCTATCTCTCCCCTACCCGTAAAATTGAATTCAAGTGAAAGACATGCTTATGTTTCCCACATATTTTTTTGATAAAACTGTTTATCCAAATGTGAATACACTACATAATTAAATTTAACAAGCGAAAACTGAAAACATCTGTAAAAAGAAAGTGTCACGAAAGTATTTGACAGTGCAACGCTTGTAAACATGACATCAAAGGCGTATATCGTGGGCGTAATTTCAGGTGATCCTATGGAAATATCATATAGTGCGAACATAGGAAGTGTGATAAAAGAAATATGATACCTTTTTAAAAATATTTGCCATCAATAAATTTGTTTTTTTCATATTTTCTTTTTTCACTTCCTCTTTCTTTTGCATGACTTCAGGCAACGACTTGTAGATTTTTTCGGAATGTTTCTTCATTTCACGTTCACTTATAAATTTTGGAGCAACTAAAAATTAAAAATTGTATTTTTATAGAGACAAGATTTAGCAAATTTGCGACATAAGAGAATTCATCCCATGGGTGGAAAAGACAACTTATAAAATTACCAATATATCTCGTGGCCTCTGGCAGTTTGTTTATTTCATAGAATACTATAATACACAACTGTCAACCTTATTTTGTACAACGATAGGCGTCGCCGGGTGCACACATACAAGCAATTACGTAGTATTATCACTACTACCAACCCCATTCGTTATGTTGACAGACAGATTTTAATACGTATTTATTTGTAAAAGGCGTATAATTTGACATTTTCTAAATAATTTTCATGCAAAATTTGGAAACGATTGTAACGTCAAAATACATCTTGTGTAGACATTTATACGTGTGAATTGTCGTGTTAGTGAAATTTTAGTGGTTACACGGGCTCCGCCCACTCCTCCGTTCTATTATGTATGTAATTATAGTATTCTATGGTTTATTTGTAGATGTAAATAGACAAACAGCATTATTAAGTGTCATGTCAGCAAAAATTCTGGTACTCAAACATAGTGATGATGGCACTGTCTACTATAACTAAAGCACTGGACTATTTTTTGCGAACTTAGAACTAGGAAAAGTTAAAACCCTGCTGAACAAATACCTACCTCACAGACTGCCTTATAAGGCATGTACTCGTATAATGCCATTCAAATAAGAATAGGAACGTCAATGACCTCAAATGACCGTGATCTGTCAACTGTCACTTGAAAGTACGGCTTGCAAAGAAAATCAATTTTCAACTTTTATATGTATTTATAGCAGCGTCAAATAGTAGTTTAATGCTGCTGTGTTTCGTATGGTGAGTGTAGAGAACCGGAGACCCTTTTTACTGGGAACGAGGCATTCCACCTAAGTCCTCACGGATGACAACGCATCTGCATTTTGATTCATAATCGAGGATATATGTAGATGTCTATGGGCCACAGCAACCACATACCATCAGGTGGGCTGTGTGCTCGTTTGTCATCCTATCCTATAAAAAAAAAATATTGAACTGTCTTAGTATTACCAAATCTTTTGGTCATAATAAGTTTTAAAAATAAAACTAATTACAACTACAAAATATTTATATTTTTCTATTTTAATTGTTGGCAACATTTCGCCAAAAAGCGAAAGTAGAAATGATGATGATGATGGTGGCGGTGGTGATGGTGGTGGTGGCCATTGTGGTGTTCGTGATGGCGGTGGTGGGTTGGTGTGGTGTTGGTCGTGTGGTGGTGGTGGTGGTGGCTGTGACGACGATGATGATGCCTACTCAGACAGTGGTGCAGAGATGAACGGAATTGAAGTGCTAAATTTCTATCAAAACTTTTTCTTTCATGGTTCTTTTGTGTTTATTTGTAAATAAATATTATTTCAAAAATATTTCATTTGCTCACCCTACCTTACTGGCTTGAATTGACAGCTATGACGTCATAATATAACGCGCACAGTTGCCCATCTAGCAGGCGGGTTGGCAAACGAAGTGGTTTTAATATTTTAAGCTATTATCGGGAAGAGATGTTACTGCCCATTTCCTGTTTCAGTTTTACTCTATCTCCTCTTACGATTACGAACTACACAACTGGTAGGGATCAAATTATGTGTATCAATATAAGTTGTAGGTGAATACATTTGTAAGTATGTATATTATATACAGGGTTCTTTTGAAATAACTGGCAAAATTTGCAGAGAATGTTCAGAATAATATACGCAAATGATGAAGAAATATCAATTAAATTAAAAATGCGTGGTAATGCATTATTTTAACTGGTTTTACTGCGCAGGCACACATTTGTAAGGGTCGATCGTGAGGCAAAAACGTTGTTGCCCGTAAATCACATTTGGGATAATTTTAAATAAAAGTAGAAGCCAAGTTTTTACTCGTGTTTTCAAAAACTGCAATAACAGTATATCATTACTTATATATTTGAACTTAAGTTTAAAATTTGCCTAGTCTTTAAAAATTACCCTGTATAATGTTGTTCGAGTGGGTGTCGGCGGACTTCACGAGTTCTTGAAATATTTTATTAGTCACATGAGCAGGTTTCATAACTTTTTCATTACCGCCATGCACATAATAAATCAGCACTTAAAGTATCAGACTTTGTGTGCTCGCGTACTATTAAATCTGTGACCCTTAAGCCACCAGTTCCCCTAATTTCTCTATTTCTTTTTTATATGAATACAATGAGAAATGAACTTACAGTCCACCAATAGTAAGAGGCTACCGCAATCCATGAGCACCTATATCAAACTTTACGCAAAGATGTATACAGATGTATTGCATATCATATCTGTGAACTAAAATGGAACACCTAAGAGCCTATAACTATACTGTTTCTCTTTACTCGCCAAGCCTAGGAACACAGCACTGCACACACTGCAGGAATAGGTAAGTTTTGCTGACAATGGTACAAATTTACCTTTTTTACGTCTCAGCTGAGCCCCCAACTCCCGCGCTAACTGCTGTATCTCTTCACCGCTGAGAGCATTTAGTGCCTGCTGGTGTTCCAGTTGCATTGACAGCAGCTTGCGTTTGGTAGCCCTTTCATTTGACCTTAAAACAAAAAAACAACAATAACTAATAAACTGATATGCATATTGATACGCCAAAAATGTATTGGGGATTTGTAATAACTTTTTTCCAAATCTCTTACAAAACTTGTTAGCATTTAGAGAAAACCCCAAAATCAACAAGAGGCTCCAGCGACTGATAAATATAACCGAGGAAAAAAAATTAAAAATTTGAACCCAAATCCCTAGGTAGTGGGAAGCAGAATCACCAACACCACTCACAAGGGAGCATTGTGGTGAGTATGGGCAAATCTTTCAAAGTGACACATTGTTGAAATGTTTGTATGAATGTAATATGAATTTCATAATTCAGTATTCAATATCGACCGTCTATAACTATAAAATAATTTCATGACTTTGATCTAATATTCTCACTAGAATCATCACCACAGCTCATGATCAATGCAAGTTTTTTTTTGCTCTAATGTCTTCAATGACAAATTAAAACTAAACTCTTTATTGAAAACAATAATTTTACAACCAGGAATACCCTTAGAATAAAATATGTTTAAATCTAGTCCTTATCGCTAGGGTATTAAAAACACAACTCAAGTTAGTCCACAGATATCACTGATTGAAAAATCATCACTTTTTTATTAAAGACGTTGGAATTTAAGTTCAAGCTTAATCATTTCAGCTATTACACTAATGGGAGATTTTAATCTACAACTGAATTACGTACATATTAAGTATAATTGTAATGGTAGTTTGCGCCATATAGGAGATGTAGTTTTTTGTTTAATCTTTATAATACAAATTATCATGACGACTTTAGTCTGACTTGTAAGCATTTTTCTAGGCATTGCCATTAAAACTTTTAAACATGTTATCCTAATAGATGATCTATTGACATACCATAATTCTGAATTACCACTCAATTGGTACATATTGACGGCCAATCATGTAATCAAGCAAATGTGCCACCACAGTATAAAAATAGTGCTATTTCATGATATATGTATATAACCATAGAAAAAACGTCAAATGTTTAATTAAATGTTTGACTGGTCTATCAAATATGAAGACAAATTTCAATATGAAGATAAATTTTATGGGCAAACTTATATTTGTTTTGTGACTATTTACATTTATTATGAGTTAAAATATGAAGAGCAAAACGAGAAAGAGCGTTCCGTTTCCTGTAAAGACCGCGCACGAGCCAATGAAGTGCGAGGCTAAAATGCTATAAATATTATTCAAGGATGATCATCCTTTAGTCGATATTCACCACATAGTATATAAAGAGCGAAATCAGATCTTCTTGCAGTAGAAATTTTACGTTATGTCTGGACTCTATGTGATGACATCATGAAATGGATAAATGTGGCCTGCAAGGCAAGTTAAAAACTCATCTACCTAAGCTTTTTCAATGAATAGCTAACCTACATGAATTCGTATATCATGATCTACCGAAATAACCGACTTATTAACAACATGTATGCTCCAAATAGCAATAGTAAACAAAGGATAATACTACAACTTTATTGTTTTCTATGTCTAAATACCATTATAGTGGTATTAACTCACCAAATTCTCTTACTTCACCATAAAATGGTTTATTGAAATGATTAACACAATGGTGGCAATTTATTGGTACACCTAAAAAAATACAAGTTCAAATTTATGGCTAGACAATGTTAATAACTATTTAACAACAAACATAATTAAAACAATACCTGAACAATATATATTACATGATTCCATACAAGTGCTACCACCACATTTAGGAGCATGCACTACGAACATTTTTACCCCAGGATTGATAAATTCGCCTCTCGGTCTGAAGTAACAAAAATTGGTGAGTATATGTGAACCCTAAACTTTAATGAATTATATTATTATATTTATTTAATGAATTATATGAATTTATATGCGAATCAAGAAATTCTGGTTTAATAAAATAATTTTTGTTTACAAATTTGTGCCAGGAAAAGGGTAAACTTTTAAATAAGATGCACAATATATATTCAGGTACGGATATTCAGCTTTCTTAAATTAAATTGTCATGATTCTCAATTATCCCCAGGCACACCTATTTCATTTATAATGTATAGTTAGTTAGCTTACCTTGTTTGATTTATTATCTTTAAACAGTTCTGACGTTTTGTACTTTTTTCTACGAAATCTGGTCGATTCCTTTCGAGATAATCTCGGACCGTACAAGTTTTCAGCATTTTAGAAAAGTCTTCACTAGACATCTCAGTATCATTCGGCAGGCTCCGAGATCTATGGACCTTGCTCTCACACCGGAAATGACTGTTGGGCAAATTCCTTTCAATTTTCGCAGAGACTTCTTTGAATGGCGCACTAGTTACTTGTTTATGTTTAGGGGGTATTTTTACTATTATGTTTTGTAATGATCGGGCATCTTCCTTACAAATAGTTTCCTCACTCAACACACTGTCAGAGGTTTGAATTATTAAATTATATGCAACACTTTTCTTTTTTAGTTTGTTAGTGTCCTGTTTAGACTTATGACTTTTACATTTAAATCTACAAGGACAGTGATGGGTATGATTACATTTTTCACAGCTATTAGAAGTAGTGCTAGATTCGACACATTTATGTTGCTCGCTACGTGATTTACATCGTTTTTGATGAAATTTTTCGCATTCTTTCCTGATTTTATTCAAAACCCAAGTTCTTGAATCGGTTGAAGTTGTAGGGAACTCACTTGTGTGATGTGACACAGGGGGAACATCAGACGATTCTGTGGAAATTTTTTGTTTCTTATTTTTCTTCAATGACAATTGTACTCCTTTGTCTTCAAAGGTTTTTTTAGTCAAACATTTGGAGTTATTTTTTTCGCGTAACTGATCTATTGTTAAAGCACTATCAGTATTACAACTTTCTTTTTGATCTGTACTTTCTTCTGTATCTAACAGGTAGTTTAAAACTGTAATTATCTCCTTGAAACATTTCTTTCTTTTACTTTTTTCCATGTCCTTCTTTGTGTAACGCTTTGTTATATCTTGAATCATGCTCAGTACGGGATCTATGTTGATCTCATCATCAGTATCACATTTGCTAACAAGATTGGGTTTCTGACATTCATATTGATCAACATTTTCTAAATTTTTATTGTCCTTTACACATGTGTTACTACTACTATCCCTTGATGATTTTTGAGAAACTATATTGTTACTTTTATCGAATTGATCTTTAATAATTTCTTTAGACTTTGATATTGCATGATAGTTTTGTGTATCAATCTCATCGATTTTATTATCGTTTTGATTTTGATTCAAATTTTTTAAGCAGCATGTGTCTGTGTTCGAACGTACTAAAGGTTTCACATTCTGAGAATTTTTCGGATACGTATTATACTTGCAATCATCACTCGTATTTTTAAAGTAAGAATTTATGTATGGAGTCGTAACCTCGTCGTTTTTATTTATATCGTCAAAGTTGTTATCATCACAATCTTCTATAAGTTTTTGGTCGTTTTTGTTAGAATGTGTAAAAATATCAGTACTATTACACTGTACACCTTTCGAACACTCTTCCCCAAATATAGTTGCTTTTTTATTCATAATTTTTTTGTTGATAGTTAAAGCTTTTGTATTTAAATCTGTATTATCACCGTAATGTGGTGTATTAGACCCGAGACTGACAACTAACGTCATATTTGTTCCTTGAATAGGAATGGAAAACTTATCTTCGTTTGGTTCAGAAAGTTGCGTATTAACAACTTTATTTTCTACACGACTTTCTTCGGATTGATTTTTTTCTTTTATCATTTTTGTATTTTTGAGAAAATTACGGCTATTATCAGTGTTTGTTTGATTTTCATGAACAGTTTTTGAATCATTTGTAGTTGTGAATTGATCTTTTTTTGCATTTTCAAATATCGGTAAAATATTTTGAGATGAATTTCTGTACCTTTCACATTCATTAATAAGTTTAACGCAGTTTAGATCCTTTACAAGATTAACATCAGATATAGTTGGATCAGAAATCTTAGGATCAATGCTTATGTCTGTTTGTGTCCATCGTGTACTTCCATGAAGTAATTCTGATATCACATTGTATCTCCCATATAGATTTGTAGCACTTTTTTCAATACCTAAGTTACTTTCTTGTCTGTGTTTATCGTTTGATGACAAAGATGTTACACTTTTATCGCTGGATCCTCGCCTCAAAAGAAAATCTAAATTAACATTTGTTTGAGATGAAGTTGATACCTTTCTTACAGGACGATCAACAGGAGGACTTGAGCTATGTGAATATTGCAATTCTCTATTCAAGCAAGAAACTTTGTCCGGTACAGTGGCCCCTGACGATTTTTTGTCGGTAATTTGATTATTACAAGAGTCACTAGAACATTGAACACCAACTGAACTTGAGGCTTTAGACATTGTGTCTGATAAGCCTATGCCCTCTTGGGCTACACGTGAACATTTGTAAATAAGTAATTTTTCAGGTATTTCCTGTTCTTTGCCTTTATTAGAACATAAACAGACATATTTTATATCCTTAGCATTTTCTAATATTATCTTATCTGTTTCCCTTGGTGATTTTTTGCAATTAACAGCAGATTTTTTTGTTAAAAGCAAATCAGTATTATTTTCTACATGACACCTAAGTTGACATATTCTTTGTGATATTTTTTCTTCACCTTTCTGTAATGAAATCTCATTTACTTCTGCTTTATCATTTACATTATGGTTAGCACAACAACAATAATGATTATCATTCTTGCTGCAACCGGCTTCTGAAATCCCTCTGATATTATTTTGACAGGTTTTTTGTAGCTTACTTTGTGCCTGACAGATTGATTGTCCCGACGCAAGAGTGAATACAGAATGACTTTGCTTTTTTATATTTCTGTACTTATCGTTATTGGAACTAGAATCTCCTAATCTACTAGCATCACCTGACCCATCATCGACATTATTGCATGCCAAATCTTTAATTAATTTGTACAATCTATCACGAGATTTCTCACACGTCTCTGGTGTTGTTTTTATACATGTATCAGAACTAATCAACTTCTTCTTTAAAAGTATTTCCTTGCCCCTTAAACGTTTTTTATGTATTTGTTCTCTTTTTAAAGCCTCTAAATATTTATTATAAAGCTCTTCAGATGACATTTTATTTGCAGTATCAGATGAAGTTCTTTCTCTACTAGAAAAATCTGATTCTGTATTGGAAAATTTTGGCTTGTGAACAATATTACCTGGTTTATCACTTTGGGCTAATGTGTGTAAATTAGGTGTACTTTGCGATGTAGATGCCATTCCATTTGGATTAAATTTATCAACTCTTAGAATAGATTTTTTCGGACGCTTTACCTTATTGATATCAATGTTATTACCATCTGATGTACTTGTTGTTGTATGGTTACTTTTAGGCAAGTTTAAGCCTGATAAAAAAACAGTTCCACTGTCATCATCTCTATACCTCGTTTTTAATAACCTTTGAACAACCTCCTTTATAAGTTTCTCTTTCAGACTTGTGTTATCATATTTGGGCCGCAAAGCTTTTTTAAGTAAGTCTATACTTTTTTCCAAATCTTTTGTGAAAGAATTTACAGTTTCTTTACTTGAATCATAAGTGAAACCTCCGTTTGATTCTAAGCTAGATTTGTTGCCAACACTATCTGAATCTTTTATATTATTACTATTAATTTGATTTTGACTGTACATGTGGCCTGGCATATATTCAAAGCTTTCTGCTTCTGATACCTGCTCTATGCTTTTAGTCTTTAAATTCTTTTTTACTTTACTACTACTAGATGCCTTCTTTTTAAGAGCTCTATACTTCTTCCGTCTCTTTCTCTTCCTCAATGTGTTTAAAGCTATTAAAATTGGAAAGTTTGGTTCATAAACATGTTTACCATTTTGCTTTTCAGTAGCACTTATCAATTTATCTTCGATTATCTTGTTATTTGTTAGAGATGTTTGTATTTCCTTATCAAATCTTGTTTGTGGAGTCATTTCAGTTTCAACTGAAACTTTATCAGATGTTAGTTTAACACTATTTTTAGAATCTTCCACCATAACATCACCATCCTTATCAACATTAAATGAAATATGTTTAGTAAGATTAACATTTATTGCTGTTGGATTAACTTCAGAACTACATGGAACATTTAATTTTACAAAATTTACATCCTTTTTTTGAATTTTTGTTGTTTTCTTCACATTTCCTTTCCTCTCTTTTTGTGAAATATTTGTTTCTACTGGTGTGGAATGACAAGTTGGTGGACCAAATTGAGTATCTTGTTTAGGATCATTGTTGGAATATTGTTGATGCAAAGCAAGTCTTTCTAATGTACTAAGCCCACAATTTGAAGCCTTTCTTTCACCTTCATTTTCATATCCTACATCACCTAAAGAATCCCATTCTAGCTTTCTTTGGGACGTGATACTACTTGTTGGTGAAAATGGCTTGTTAATTGAAGTATCCAGATGGGCATCAGTAGCTGAAATATATAATTTTTCAATTACAAAAAAATTGTATAAATACACCAATTCTCTGATAAACATAAAAAGAACAGACTGTGCAAACAATAAAGCAATATTATTATGTATAATATTAATATAAAAGATTTTTTTAAATTACAGGATGGTTAGTGGTTACGCGGAAACGATTCGTGTATTTTAATTTTGTTCGACCCATCCTTTGACCTAATATCCCTTCCGTACACACTGAAAGGGGAAAGGGGGAGTCTAGAAGGTGACGCGATTCTTTCGACCAATGAGACGCGCGCCCGCCCACCTGGAGCAGTCGTGCTCCAGAAGTAACCGCCTCACATAGTGTGAGATATCGTCACGCACCGCTCTCTTCTTTCGTACCACTGGCCTGGATCGCATCTCTGGGGCGCCCCAGAAGAACCCACCTTACGTCGCATTACCGCAACGGAAGCGTCGTCCGCCGCAACAGAATCACACCCCGGTAAGTGTGTTTTCCCGTAATTTTGTTCCTACTTGAGCATTTTGTTTATTAGTTAACCCACCCCATTTTGTTTCTCCTAATGTGCTCAAGTAGAATTCCCTCCTAACCTTGGCAAGCAACAGATTTGGAAGAGCGAGTGCATTGTCCAAGGTGCCGCGTGCCACATTCGCCATCTATATAACATCTCATCTAGTATAACATCTCGCACAATAGGGTCAAGGCTCAACCTGGAAATCGAACTCGGGAACTCTTAGGCCCGCCGCCCAACTAGTTAGAGTACAGAGTCATAAGACCAGGGTTTTTATAGAATTAACTCATTTGAAATTGACGAAACTTAAGTATAACAATTTTTTTTAAATATCTTAATGCAAAAAACAATATACTAGCTGAACAATGTATTTAGTAATGTAACTTCACTTCATTATCAAGCGACATCTTATGTTTGTAGAAACTTGTTGACCATATTTAGTTATTGTCAAAATACCATGATCATAACATAAAAGTAAACAGAATTTTTATTTGAGTGAACATTCGAAAATTCAAAACATTTCAACTCATTTACTTAAACCTTCAATTTCTTATTTTTTCTTTTTGTTATCAAAAAAGGCCAAAATTGCTGCCTGTATTTTCTCTTTATTTTCTAACTTGTAACATTAATAACATCATATTATGGTGCTACTAGGTCTAGGTTGTGAAGTGTGATATAGAATTTAAAAGCTACATTTCTGAAACCCTGCCATGGTAAATTTGCTCTTCTAAAAAAGCACACTATGCAAGAACAGCCTTTTTATATTTTACATTTTCTGCTTTTCTTAAAAGCTTTGCATATTGATTTTCCAGCTAATTTTCTTTTCATCCATCACTTACTTGTATTCAAATTAATAAAGATAAACCTAAATTTTAACACCTTCAAAACTACATATTAGGTCCCTTCAAGAAAGGAGTTTATTCATTTTTAAACGGCAGGTAACACACCCGCAATTCCCCCGGTGTCGCAGTTGTTTATGGGCTGCGATCGACACTTACCATCAAGTGAGATGCATGCTCATTTGCCTCCTCATCTATAAAAAACTGGTTCAAAACTTTGTTTTGATTATTTATTAGGTATAAGATATGAAGACAGTGCTTTTTAATACTAATTTTTATATATTTATGTAACTTTATTCATATAAATCACCATATTTAAATGTATTATTTTTACCAATTATGTTATTTTTAAGTCTCATCATCAGTCAGTCATTCATAAGTGAATATTTGTTCTTTTTTGAGATAATAAACTCTTTAAACCTAAACCTAAGATACCTGCTAGATGTTCTTGTTTTAAACAAGAATCTAGAGTATCCGAGTCTCTTGACTCTTTGGCTGGATTTGTATTCAATATACTTTTTGGTTTAAACAAAGTTTGTATATTGTTTAATTGGGCGAGAGCTGCCTTAAACAGATATTTCTTACAGTTAGATTTAATAATTTTCTTATCCCTTTCTTTATTATTGCATGATATTATTTTTCAAGCCTATTTAGTGAATTATTTCTGATTCACTTATTGATTTCTCACAGGTTAAAAACAAACCGATGGTTGATGAGTGGTTGGTTATATGGTACATCATACAACCATCTTCTTTCCCTCTCCAGATAATCCCTTCGTAAACATTCTTTCTTTCGAATTTCGTTTTGATCATACACATGCTGCAATTTAAAAAAGCATAAATGTTCATCAATTTATACATACACTTTTGTGAATTGTTATCATCAGATTTTACAGATTCATTATCACATTGTGGTGACAAATCTAAATTTGGTTCTTCTGTTATTATAGGTGGAGACACAGAATCATCTTTGGTCTCCAGATTGTCATCCTGTAAATCAGTATATAAAAAAATATTCTTAAATGATTGACAAATGGAATTTCTATTTCCTATTGAGATTTTTACCTAATAATATGAGATACATACAACAATCAACATCACTACAAGTTAAGGCCCATTTCCAACACAGTTACATTATGTAACACAGTACTTAAATATTGATTAAAACTACTTTTATGAATTTATTGTGTTTAATTTATTTGATTTTGAATTTATGACTTTTTAGGTGCTTTCCAACACCCCTGGTGACGGGGGACTGAAGTGACTGATGTCTCGATGTCAGTGTTAACGCAGGATACCAGTGATAGTCCCCTGTCTTGTCAAACATTTTGTTCCGGCTTGTACCCCGAGACAAGCCAGAACAATATGTTTGACAAGAAGAGGAGACCCAAAACACCTCTTCCTAATAGTACAAGGAAATGCCTATATGAATTATTTGCAGTGTTTGGTCAAACTCCAAATATTAATAAACCCTCTCTACTACGCTATTCCCTCAATCACCTTGAAAGAAACTTCCAAAAGTTTCCATGTCATTACTTTATTATTTATGCAATCTCATAATAAGTGTATTTCATAACTGTCTGGACATTGTAACATGGATTGTAACCATCTGCGAAAAGCTACTGTGGAAATAAAATAGAGAAAAATATAATAGTAACTTTAGTTAATTTGTCTCATATGATAATTAAAATATTAATAGATCAAAAATTAGATAAAATGTTTAAAATATTTTAATCAATATTATAAATATCTACTAGAAACTTAGTAAGAAGATCTATATTAAATACAATCTGTTTTGAATATATATATATATTTATATATATATATATATATATATATATATATATATATATATATATATATATATATTGAGCAGTAATATGGTTGCTCTATGTGTGAAACACATAACTAATAGTCATTTGAGAATACCCTAACAATATTATTACCCTATGCTGATGAACATCTACATCTATCCTTGATTAAGAATCAAAAGGCAGATGTGTTGCCATCCCTGAGGTCTAAGATGGAATGCCTCGTTTCCAGTACAATGGGCTCTCTACACTCACCATTCAAAACACAGCAGCAATGAGCTGCTATTTCACACTAGCATCCTGTGAGAGTATAGTCCTTCCCCGGTCAAGCCCCCCCCATAATATAGCTGCAGCATGGCTCTACTATATTATGGTACTTGGTTTCCCCTAGTATTTGCCTGCTGTAACAAATTACGGGTACTGTACAAGAGGTAGCAGCTGAGAACAAGTTGGTGACAAATACATTTCTAGGTGTAATAATAGTCACAATTTTTTTTTTATTTTCACCAATTAATCTCACTTATTATAACAATTTTAAAAAGTATATGTAATATGTTAAAAACTATAACTTTTGTATAGTTTCAGGGTGACAGACGAGCACATAGTCCACTTCATAGTATGTGGAGCTGAGGTCCATAGACATTTACATCTTTTATCAATCAAAAAGTGAAATGTAAGTATGTTGTCAAACCCTCTTATGGGGTACTACACTCAACCCCTTGAAGTGAGAAGAAGAAGGGGAAGGAACCCTTCTTCTCTCACACTTTAATGCATTAGGATCTTTTTAATAGATAATAACTACAAAAATATTTCAGAAATCTATTGTAGGTTTTATAAGTTCTTTCCCAGACAGCAGCAGATCAAACTCTAAGCATACAGTATCTGGGCTAAGCCACCATTTAACTTAAATCCCCTGAGAGGTATTAGGAGAAAATGTTAAGGAAGAAATTACTCTATTGAGCCTACTTTCAATAAATGCCAGCTTTGCCTGTAAGTACATTGGAAATTCATAGCTACCATGGCCACAATTCTCAAAACACATTAATTGTGGTATCATTTCATTTCACTATTTAATTTCAGCCTTTTAAAAGTCGACAGCTAAACATAGGCCTCCATCTTCGATTGCTCCTTAAGGGAATATTCGCCATAGTTGCCATGCTTGGCAAGCCGGCTGGCAGCTACGGTTTTTAATTATTTTGAGGTGATATACTATTGCCTATCTCCTGTTGCTGTCATCTCTTATGCCGTAATTATGGTGTATTTAAATATTTTTAGAAATTTAGAATTCTAATCCAATCACAAATTATCAATTCGAAAATTTATAATTTACCTTTGAAGATGGCTCTTGGACCGTATATTTAATGGATATTCTACATAATTCTGTTGAAGATCCAGTCTGACCGTCCCCAGAATCTGAAGAATCAGTTTGTACTTTCATTTTCCTCCAAAATAAACTTTTCGGATCCCGAATATCACTTTGAGTAGTAGATAGAGAAAAAAACTGTTCTAAATCTCGTTTTCTGCCAAACTTTTTGTAATAATCCAAAACGAGCGAATTAACAGCACATTGAGAATAGTCGTCATAAGTATCTTGAAAAGCCGTTTTATCTACTATATTTTCGTCCATAATTTCATTGACATGTAAATAAAATATTGTGTAAATAACATAGTGAAATACTTTCGATTTTCAAAACGGTCACAATTTCTGGATCCAACTAGAGATTCGCAAAAAGTATTTACTACCTGAGTAGTATCGATACTTTTAGTTCGATACCAAGTATTTTTGCACTTGATACTTTAATTTTTAGTATTTTACCAAGTATTGATACTTTCTTAGTTACTCGATACTTTTTGTCCTTTTACTAAACTGTCAGACAAAAGTCGGTAAATAGTAGGGGAGGTAGGGGAGGGATGGGCACTTTTTCACAATTTGATGCATAAAAAACCAGATTTTATAGATAATCAACATTTAATGCCTATTCTTATTGCACCACATATTTGGCTAGATATCTTAGAAAGAACTTTCTTAAAATTATGATCAGTCTCAACATTATAAGATAATTTCTGAAACTCAGTCAAAGTGCCCAATGCTCCCTATGGCAGGGAGGTTTGGACACACCCCGTGGGAGGCTTGGGCATGGCCTATAAAATACTTAATATCCAAATTTAAAAAACTTAATATCTGATACAATCCAAAAATAAAAGTTAACAACAATAAAAACATCTAAAATACATAGCTTATCTAAGATTAGGTATAACCCATAAAGGTTTATCAAATGTGTACTTAGAGCTACCACGTTTGGTTTTATTGCATGTCTTTGGTTCTGGCAATTTAGTTTTGATGTCATCTAGTAGGACACAAGCTATGTCATCTACTTCAGGAAAAAAAAGGTGTTTCTTATCTTACTCAGCCGCATAAATTTTATTGTAGCCATGGTATGACTGATGTCTTCGATTTGGCCGACATAGTGCACAACAGTCTTTTTTACATTAAATTTAACGAGAACATAATCATTCTTTTGAAAATTTCTGTCAACCATTATCACATCATTTTCATCTAACTCTTCTTCAGACGTGTCTTCAGCAAAGGATCCCTCAGAACTATCAGTGAGTAAAACATTTTCTATGTCGCTATCACTACTGCTCATTTGCCTCTTCTTTACTCTATTCGATGTTAGTTCTGATGGAAGTTTAGGAATCTGTTTTTTCCCTGTGTTTTTGAGAACCTTTTTTTCCTGCCTCTCTTTCTTAGCCTTGTTCTTGATTTGTTTTTCTTGTTCTGCTAATTCTATTAGTCTTTTCAGGTGTGTCTGTCAATATTCTTGTTTTTGCTTTCTTCCTTGCATTTTTAATCAGTTTTCTTGGGCAAGCCTTTGGGTATGGTCTTACTATTTCAGGGGTTACAACTTCAGCAACTTCAATTGTTATTTGATCTGTAGCAAATGATGAGGAAGAATTAGCGACAGCAATGTTATTCAAATTAACAGGATCTGCTTCATTTTGATTTTCTCTTTCAGGGTGTTCTGGAATGACTTGAGTTGAAGTTGGCTGGATTATAGGGTCATATCTGGATGAGAACGTTTCATCAGTTATGGGTGCATCGCGATCCGTGACAGAAGAGCAAAGAAAATCTTCATTCGAGAATATATTTGAATTGAAAGGCCATATCCCAGGTTTTTCAAATCCTTTTTGTATGTTTTGTGGTTTGAAAGCTAGAGGTATAGCAATGGCTGCTAGTTTGGGGATATCATAGATTGTTACAGTTTTTCCAGGATTGCTGACCATCCAATCTATTAAAGCTTTATTGTAATAATTTTTTAGTGGTCCATACACTGTTAAGTCAAGTGGCTGTAGTTTGTGGCTACAGTGTGGTGGAAAGGTCATCAGAACAATGCCAATTTCTTTACAAAAGTCTAAGACTTCCACAGAAATATGGCTTTCATGATTATCTAGGAGCAACAACACTGGATTTTCAGGCGTCGGTTTTGCATGTTTCGCAAAATGATGCATATATTTAATGAAATTTGAAGATTTCATCCATCCAGACGGATGTGTTGAGCCATCTGACCCAATGGGGGCATCATGAAGCATGTATGGTTTAAAATTTACTCTTGGGAATATGAAATACGGAGGTATTGAGTTTCCAATAGCATTGATTCCACAGCAAACTGTGACAAGTGAGCCTCTCTCAGCAGATGTTGCTTGTCTAACTTGTTTCGAGCCTTTTGAAGCAATAACTCTTTGTGTGCGCTGAACAGTTGTCAATCCTGTTTCATCTATGTTATATATAGCTTCAGGACCAAACTGATGTCGCTCAAAGACAGTTTTTAAATTTTCAAAAAAATTATCAACATTTGTTTTGTTAAAACTTGTTGAACGTGACAATGATGTTGCTTCTGGTGTCAGTATTGATAAATAAGATTGCCTATTTAAAAATCCCCTTATCCAGTCCTTAGATGCGATTTTGTTCTTGATCCAGTTATCAGGAATATTAGTTTTCTTTATGGCTACAGCATAGTCATAGGCCAATTTACGTGCTTGTATCTTTGTCAATCCATAATGATGTTTAGAACAAACTATTATGTAATTTGATAATTTTTGTTCTTCTTCGTCGGTGAAAATATGTGAGGTTATAAATCTATTCGAAGAATCCTTTATCGAATCTTGTTTAAGGTACCGTTGCATACTTGATCTAGGAATTTTATATTTATCAGCCGTTGTTTTTATTTTTGTTCCTTTTGATATCTCTTCTATGGCTCGTAATATCACATCTTTAGGAATTTCCCGTCGCAGACCTTTCTTTTTGAATTTAAATGGCATCTTTCTGTAATTAAATATAATTCAAATAGTTTAATTAAAGCAGGTAATTAGAATTTTTAAAAATCCTGCCATACTAGACTTAAAGGAGGGAGCATTGGGCATGCCCAAACCTCCCTCACATCGGAATGCCCATTACTCCCTCCGTATACATTTTCAACATAAGTGATCTTTATTTTTTTTATTAAGCTATTTAAGCATGAATTTCAGTTTTATTTATAGGTTCGTAAATATACAATAGATATACAATGAAAAGTAGACATACCTTTCGTTCGTTTTCTCTTTATCACAATCCGAAACCACAACAAAATATTTACTTTTACGAGCGCATAACCTTCAAGCGTGTCTGTGTTTGACAACTGACAGAAATGATAGGTAGTCTGTGGATGAACATTGTTGCCAGTCGGTAAAGTAAACTATCAAAGTAGGGAAAAAATAAAATCTGTGACCGGAACAGAATAAAAGGGGGGTGCCCATGTCTCCCGACTGCCCGTCCCTGCCCTTCCTCCCCTACTTCCTTTTCCGTTGTATAGCGTCGTTTCTCACGTTGGAGTGAGGATTTCAGGAGAAAACCCTGTTATAGTTGGAATAATGCATATGTGGCCGGGTAAATATATTTTATGTAATTTTGATGAATGAATATTATATTATAGTATAATGGAATGATGACGCAGTAGAAGAATATTTTTGTTAAGATATATATCAATGTTTCTTATTATTTAATGGCAATATTGACTGATTGGTATTCGTTGTTGAAAAGAAAAAGTTTGTAAAAGTAAATTTTATTGTTTTTAACTGCTGACTCCGGTACTCTGATTGATTTGCTTCTTAAGAATGCCACCTCCTGGTGGAGGACAAAGTGATGTGTGGAAATATTTTATAAAAGTTGATCAAAATTCAGCAAAATATAAAATAATATATAGTTTTAAAGTTATAATAATAGTTTAAAGGTTTTGAAGTCTCGCAGTAAAACTTAAAAAAGAGGTTAGCAAAATGAAATAAATTGATAAGATCAATTAGGTGTGTTAAGACGAAAATAAATACACTGTAGCAATAGCCTGATAAATCCAAATAAAATACGATGTTTGATTTGAAAGTTATGATAAACTATTGTGGTTTTGAAATAGAAATTCCAGATACTTACAGATTGAAAAATAATAATAATGGATTCATTAGATTTTGATCTGGTACATGAACGACAAATTGACATCGACAAAAATTTCAAATCTTTGTGAAAATCTGAAATGGCAATGAGGAGGCATTAATTAATACCCATATCATATATAATATAGCATTAATAGAAACAAATATTTCATAAGGGACCTGTTTTTGGCTTATCATCAAATCCTTGGTTGTTATGACCCCACATTTGAAAGCTGCCAAAATAGTTCTGCAAAAAAAAACCTACTAACTGGCTATGCCAAGAGAGAAACTGTGTGGAAAGAACATTGGATTTTGATCTGGTACATGAACGACAAATCGGATTGTATAAGTATTCTCAATTATTTATAACTCAGAATTGGGATACTAGAATTTACCGATAGAGTGAATGAGATTGTATCAGAAATTACACATGTGTTTTGGATTTTCCATGGGATTATGATCAGAAAAATGGAAAAAACCAAAATAAAATATCGGCAAATCCGACTTATTGTTTTGGTAAAGAGAATACTAGTGAGTTCATAACGGTTTTTATGAGAATTTATCAGTTTAGTAATTTATCAGATAAGCAAAATTCGAGGATGATCAGCAATCATGAAACAGAAATTGCGGATACAGTTAATAGTTATAGTTTGTACTAATATATATTAAACAGAAAACAACGCAGCTTATAATAATCTATGAGAATGTATTAGCATTATCTAATTAGTCTTTTCATGTGCTATTCTATTAAAAATTTTCAGATAATTCATAAATGAAAACAATCAGATTGAATGAGTATGATCTAAATCAAATACATTCTTATATTCATGTACTGTTTAAAGACAGTAATTATTTGATAAACTAGTTTTTATGTCAGTTTGCGATGAACAAGATTGGGAGTTCAGTAATAAGTTTTTAGTTCCTGTATTTTGTAACAAAACTTTGAATGAATATAAAATTGAATCCTTATTGTGTATTATCTTGTGATTCCTAATATTTATAAATATTACGCGATACCAAGTATTATCGATACTTTTGAGTCGATACTTTTATTGGTATCGATACTTTTTATTCGATACTTGGGATCGAGTAGGTTTCGATACTTTTAAAAATTTACGCGTGGAGGTTGGAGAACAGGAGAACGATCGCTATGTACTAAAGCATAGTCCGCCTGTCCTTGAAAATTTGTAGAATTTATAGCGGCGCTGATTTCAGTGAGTAGTGGCTGCGAAGTTAGCTGTTTATGAGTACAAGTAGATGAAGTCAGTTGAAAAATGTACAAATTTTCTTCGCGGCATTGGTGAGAAAATTTTCATGCTCCGTAATTTTTATTTTTAAAAAATAGAAAAATACTTTATTGTGCGTGGATGTGTAAGTGGTAGCATTTGATCTGAAAAATAGACTAAAATTGACTCTAATTCAGTGAACTTAGCGGTCGCAGCGCCTAACTAATGGTGTTCGTATTTTTGGGACACTATTTTCTACGGTGATCGTTCTCCTGTTCTCTAACCTCCATTAATTAACGAAAACCTAGGTCCGGCCGTCCAAATTAGGAGTGCTCTATATAAATCAATATTTCAAAAAAATATAGATATATACATTTGATATATCGAACTGATCCGATATTATCCAATCTTCTGATATCGATAACGGTATCGATATATTATCGTACAAAATTAAAAGTACACCCTTTTCAGATTTACTTTGAACGTAATTTCTTAATAGTAACAGCATAACATAATCTTAACTTAGTTTTACACTTCTATTTTGAACTGTATCTATTTAAACAAGTTTTGCGATATTTGGACCAACAGAAGGTTATACGGCCTTTCGTTTTACCGTAAGTTTTTAGGTTAGTTTTAAATAAAAAGTCAAATATTCAGAATTGTAAAATTTATTATGAAAAAATTAAAGCGCCATTTAGGGTCTATTTGGAATCTAAAATATTGTCTTATAACAAATAAAGTTGAATTAAAGGCAACATTTGGGATAATTAAGGGTAAGTTCGGCAGGAGCTGGAGGATTCCTTATTTCTTGCAAAACTTAAGTAAAAGTAAAAATTTAAGTAAAGTAAGCAATATAATACAAAAAACTAAAAGTGAATACTACTATAAGGCATTTAAAGACTGTAAACACAAACCAGCAAAAATGTGGAAACTGATCAACGATCTATCAAATAACAAGATCAAAGAAACTACTGCTCCAAATAAACTAATCACGCAAGTGGGATCTGTCGTTAGTGAGGATAAAGCTATCTGTGAATGTTTTAATTATTTTTTCTCGAATATTGGTTCAATCCTGGCAAATCAAATACCTAAAGTTAATCAAACAGTATAAGACGCAATAATTATCGATACTGGAAGTAATGTTATATCCTATTGGCCACCCGTAACTCTACACGAAATCGACAAAATTATAGATGATTTAAATCCTAACACTAGCACTGGATTAGACGGGGTAAGTACAAAATCTATAAAAAGTAGGTATCAAGAACATAATTGCTGATGAGCTTGTAAACTGCATCACTAACTGCTTTGAACAAGGCGTATTTCCAGACAGTTTAAAAGTAGCAAAAGTAACTCCGATATATAAAACAGGAACTAGATCAGATCCCGGAAATTACAGACCAATCTCAATATTACCAGTACTATCCAAAATTTTCGAGAGTGTTATATAATCGTCTTGCAAACTATTTAAATTCTAAAAAAATATACGATAAACAATATGGCTTTAGACCGAAATCGTACACTCTTTCAGCTACAATAGATTTAGTTACAAAAATCAAAGTTGGCATAGACAAAAAACAAATAGCACTCGGTATTTTATAGACCTTAAAAGCATTTGATACAGTTAGTCATGAACTGTTACTGTGTAAATTGAAACATATGGGTATTTCCGGATATGCTTTGAATATTTTTGCTTCATATTTATCCAATAGATATCAAGTAGTAAAGATTGGCTCTAATCAAAGTGAACCAAAATTAATAACTTTTGGAGTACCGCAAGGTTCCAAATTAGGACCGCTGCTTTTTCTGATTTACATCAATAGTATTAAGGATATAGAATTAAAAGGTAATATTACATTATATGCAGACGACACAATTAGTCTGTTTTGTTTTACTATGCATATTCAATTGACGAATTGATTACCGATGCCCAATCAGATCTCAACACATTGAATATGTGGTTCAACGCTAACTATAAATATTACTAAAACACACTACGTAATTTTTACATCAAAAAATAAAAAAATTGGTAACTATAAGCCTCTCACAATAAATAGTGAACCAATTTCTAAAGTAAATAATGAAAAATACCTTGGTCTCATCATATGACATTTTAGTCTCATATAAATAATATTAAATCGTTTCTAATAAATTGGTTTCTCTCACTGGCGCACTGCGAAATATAGTAAAATGTTTCCCACGTAAAGTGCGTAACACTATTTATAATTCATTAGTCAAACCACATATTGAATACCTTATAGAAGTCTGGGGCACAGCAGCAAAAACCAATATAGAAACAATACAGGTAGCACAGAATAAACTGATTAAGGTACTATTTAATTACGACTTTCTTACACCAACAGCCCAAGTTTATAAGGACACTAAAATCATGAATATTTCACTACATATAAATATTATACTTGCATTTTAGGACGTAAAATACTAAATAAAAGCATTCCCACAGAATTAAGTTTTACAAAAAATAAACCTACAACAAAACTAAAACCAAGACTTTACAGAGAATTAAAACTACGCACAGCACATACTAACTACGGTAAAAAATGTATTTAAATGAAGGTGCCTTAATCTACAACAAACTACCAAAAGAGATAAGGGATGCCAAATCTATGACAA